AACATTTAATCAATTATTTAATGGTGTATTACATTACTTCATTTAGTCACTCCTGGCCCTCCGTATATCTGTGTCAAACAGCTAACGCACTTTTATCCATGTTTGTGTGACCTGGCTTAAAGTTCTGCTCATTTCCGGCTCTCTGCTTCATTCTTGGACTTTACTGGAGTTACTGGTTTCAAAGCATCTCCACTTGTGTCGGCCATTCTCCGACACGATCGACAGAATCTAAATGTTCAACACTCGTGCTCTACGAGTCCTCGCACCTGGAGGCTGTGGGCAGTGAACTCACCTGTGTTAGTGTGTGCGCTCTGGTGCTGTGGTCAGAGCTGCTTAACTCACTGCTCTCTGCACTTCCAGCCTCGGGAGTCGAACCTGTGGAGAGAAATCTGTGGACTTCCCAGCCCACGCCTCATTCCCAAGACCCAATGTGAATATTTAGTCTCAAACATGACTAAAATAACCTACAGACAGTCTGTAATCTGATTACATTTCATGCTGAAATTTTGAGCTCTAGTTTTTAAATTATGTCAAACAATATTTGATTCAAAGTTTGAGTTTATTTTCCACTAAAAATGACCAAAACCAGTCTCACTGCGAGCATGTGATCTCTGATGCACCCGTCCTGACACGCGCTCATATTGCTTCGTCTCCTGGATTAAAATCGCTGCCCTGCTCTTTGTTTTTCCGTTGCCGTGGTGAATCGTGGTATCGGAGCTCGATTGGTGATGGCTTTTTTCTCCACTCGTGCTGATCTCAGGGTGAAAATAATCAGAGCTCACTTTGTGGAAGTGGAAACTGAATCATCTGGAGCTGAAGCTGCTTCCTGGAACAGGAACTATCACATGAATCCTGCACTGATTTTTAAAATGTAAGATTTCAGAGATCAGCACTTCAGTGTTTACAGATTCAGCTGGATGCATGATGCATAATGTGATTTTGGTCCAGTCTGTGTCAAACATAAAGCAAAAACACCTTAAAATCGTTTAAAATAATCATTTTTCCTCCAGTGTGGAAACAGCACAGGCTGGAGTCCAGGAAGTCCACAGCTTTGTGTGACATTTGATGCCATGTGTGAGTTTAGAAAAGACGTAATCCAGCATGACGTGCGTGTGCCGATCGCTGGGAGCGCGGCGCCAAAACGTCGGAGTCCACTGTGGCTTCAGCTCCACGTCTCCGCTCCACCAGCTGCCGAGTAACCAGAACAGACACTTGGCTGCTAAGTAGAGCGCTCCAGCGCCGAGAAGAAGCTTCAGGAAGCCAAAGTCCTCGCCTCCATCCCGCTTCTTTGGTTTTCCACTGAAAGCTGAAGACAGAAATTCAGAAAGTCTTTAAAATGTTACTCTTACAAAGGAGAGACGGTTTATCAAGAATTCGATCACACAGTCAGAAACGATCCCCGTCACCTGCCAGGCACCGAACTGCTCACGTTTGAGTCTCTTTATTCTTTTTTCTTTCATGATGTTTGCTGATGTCTCAAAAACACGAATCACCAAAACAGAAGGAGGTGAACTGTCCCTTTAATTATCTAAAGCATGAATGGGACCTGGCTCGCGATGCTAGCAGCTCTGAACACGTCTAAATATGAGAGCTTCATTTCACGTCCAGAACTTTTACAGGAGCCAATTCTTCAGCCGACCCTACAGGTGATATAAAAAGCTAAAGTAAAAGCACAGATATGACACCAGCTCATTGTCTGTAGGGAAACATGACACACATGGTTTGATTTTAAATAAACAGTAGAGGTTAAAGGTCACATTACATCATAAAGTCCTGGTCTTTTATGAGGTGTGTACACGTTGCAGTTGCTGCTACAGCTCATGATCATCTGAAGCAGTTAAGTGGAAAACGACTGGACGTCTTTTTTTAGATGTTTCACCTCATCACTGAGACTTCTGCACATCTGGATAAGACGTCCAGTTGCTTCCAACTCGAGTGCTTCTTGTGAAAGAAAACAAAACGACAAATCATAAAAACAATGAAAATCTGGGGAAATAAAACCTCAAAACAAAGCGCACATCACAGCTTGAACTCGGGCGACCTGACCAAAGACGCCAGTCGGACATATTCCACATTTTCTGCCATTAAAAACTTTTATATCTGAAGCTAAACTGAACCCTGACTGCAGGTTTACCTTCACGAGGCAGCTTCCAGTAACTGTACGCCGGTAGTTTCCTGTAGTTAGCTGCAGGCCTGCTCTGTGCTGATGTGTTGTAGCTGTAGTGCCGCACCACGCTGCAGGTTTGCTGAGCCGATGGATCCGAGTAGGGGATCTCTCCTAAGCCCTGGAGCACATTTACGTAGTAGCCCATCTGGATGAGGAAGCCGGTGAGGTCCAGCTGGGGGTTCTGCAGGGCCTGGATCAGTTCACAGCTGATTTCAAAAGTCCTGTCGAATCTGAACCTCCCAAAGGCGGCTGGGTCGTGCTCAGTGATGTACACCGCCTCCACCACCCGGGTCCTCACCCGGTAACCAATGATGATGCGATCGATGTTGGAGTTGTTGCTTCTGACACCCGACCGATAGTTTTCCCTCACGTACGCCGGCAGGTTTGCAGAAGCAGGATACGTTTCTGTGCTCAGGTTGCCAACCTCAAAGTACGTAACCTGGAAAGAGAGTAAAGATGGAGGGCAGAGGCTGTTACAGTCGGAGTCCTACTCCCACCTGCACGCTCCCGCCTTTCCTCTTCTTCTCATTTCACTTATAATGAAATGTTTGCCCATTCAGATTCCAGCTGAGAGCATGAAACCTCAAAGTGAAGCGAGTGTTTTCACTGAACCACAACCAGCTGAGCGGTTCCCCTAACAGGAAGCAGCCTGATCTCTACCTGTGAAACTACCAAACAAACACGGCACACCTGACTCCTGCTCCTCCTGGGCCTGCTCAGAACAGGAAGGAGCTCCTCCATGTTTCCAAACAGGTGGAAGCCGAAGTTCCCGTTCTCCGGCTGACAGTCCGACACCAGCTGTGGAAACACATCAGGTGTTAGTCTGATTCACACACACACACAGACACACACAGACCTGATCTTACCTTCATGGTGACCACCAGCTGGACCACGTCGCAGGTCACACACTGGTTGGAAAACCAAAAGAGCAGCTGCAGGCCGTGTCGTGGAAAAGGACGGCCGAACCCTGAATACATCAGGTTCTCCGGAGTGCAGAGCTGCCACTGAACCATGGTGGAGCTCAGCACGCAACACACTCACACACATGCAAGTATTCAGGAGCTCTGCTTTCACTGCGAGGAGGCACTGCGCTGTTTCTGGTAAAAATGCAAAAACTACACTTTGATGTATTGTTTAAATGCCATGTGTGCATCAGTGCTGAGCCAGTGCACAGCTGTTATTATGTAGAGACGCACTCGGACAGTTATAACTAAAAAAATAACAAAATAATCAGAGTTAAAGATAAAAAATGTATTTCAGTAAAATATTACAGCTCTACTGTGGGATAAAACACACACACAACAGCATCTCATTTTTGCACATTTACAATTTTACTTTTTCACTCAGAAACACACACACGTGTAAAACTGCAGATACAGTACTGTGCAAAAGTCATGAGCCACTCATTTCTTTATATTTTGCTGAGAAAATATAAATATTTTATTATATTATTATATTTTAATAATATCATACTATTAATAATAATGTAATATAATATTATTATATATTAGTTAATTATTTAAAATAGGCAATTTACTGCAAAGTGCACAAAAATGGATGAAAATTATTATACATAAAGCTAAAACAAAGTTTGTGTAACTCTAATGAGGCTGGAGGTGTTATTGCATGAAGGATCAAACTCTGATTGTACGATTCTATTCTCATAATTCCAACAATTCAAAAAAATTAAAATGCACATTTCTATGAGCTCAACAAACATCAGCAAACACACAAACTGTTTGTCTCGGTGTGTTGCAGCTAAAGGTCCAGCTGCTTATTTCACAGGGAGAGAAAAGAAAGAGCTAACATCACTCAGAGATGGAGAAAGATAAGAAAGAAGGACAGGAGAGGAAGAGGAGAGCTTATAAGGAAGGACGCTCATTTAAAGCTCACATGGAAGTCCTCGTGTTGTTAAATCTGTACGTGTCACATTATGTTTGTTCATATAAACTGAGGCAGACTAAATGTTTCACTTTTACTCGAGTAAAGAATTTGAATCAGTATTTGAACTTTTGGTACAAATGACACTAAACAACTAAACAAATGGGAATGAATGATCTGTCAGGCTGCTGGTAACAAAGTGCCTAAAGAAGCAACTTAAAATGTATTTTCTGCTGAGCTGGCTGTGATGAGGCAGAGTTGGGCGGCTTAACAAGCCAAGAATAAAAAAATCATTCCTCTGAAAATGCTCAGGCACAAGCACAAGTGCAAAGTCTGTCTCGCAGGGAATAATCTAAAGGAAAAAGGGGTGGCTCGGGACTTTCGCACAGCACTGTATAGTTGTAATATTATTAATGTAATCATTCACATTATTCGCGTATTATGGCTTGTTTTCGATCACTGAGTTCATTGAAACATTTATTCCAACAACACAACACTGAGCTGAGCCATTATAATGCAGTTCCTTATTTCTAAAAAAAAGCTTTATGATAGTCATAGAATCGTGGTCTAGTCCAATGAAGCTCTTAAATAATGATTTTAAGCGAACGGCGAGCTGCAGTGCAGAGAAAATCGCTGCTGTAAAGTCTGATGTGCTGTTTTCTTCTTTATTTACCGTTTTTGTTGTTTTCTCGCTCTGTTTCCTCATTTTCAGGAGGCGCGCTACAGCCCGGAGCGCGAACGTCAAATGCGCGCTCGTTCACGTCGTTCCGTAACGTGGTTCCTAGAGGACGTCCTCTGCTGGCGTCATTTGCGCGCCGCCTAGCTTCCCATGCACTCTCCTTCTCCCGAAAGCCTGCGGATAGATGTTTCGATTTCAGGTGAGTGTAGCTTTGTGGAAATAATCAGGTGTGTTTTCCCGAGGAAGAGTTCCGGTGAGTCCCGGAGAGCTCACGGTGACCACAGAGCGCGCGCTGTACGTGCTCGGCGTTCACTATTGTTTATGCGGCTGAACTCGGTGCGGCCTGCGAGGCAGCCCGCTTTCCTGTGCTGAACCGGGGACGGCGAGCCCTGTCTCGGCCCGTGTGGGTTACAGTACTCTAAAGTAAACCAGCGCCCGCTGTGACAGTCCGGAGTGTCGCAGCGGCCCTGACTGTGTCGTATTCGGCCTCTGAGGGCAGCAGCTAATCGACGCGAGTCATACGCGATATCACGTCAGCATTAGCATTGCGGCTAACAGGCGCCTCTGCTAGCTGCAGGGTGCCAGAGTGCTGTGATAAGAAACGTTATTGTTCCCAGCAGGTAGTTTAAAAATGGAAGGCTACTAATGGCTTCTCTTGTCAGTACCGTAGTGTTCCTGTTTTGAGTTTATCTCTTCTGCGTTTCATGTTTTTCCCAGTGAAAGCAGGGTCATTGTCTCAGCTAGCTACTGCTAGCATTTGGCCAGTGGTCAATGCTACTCCTAGTATTTACTTACATGCTATAAATGCCAACTCAGGCTGAGGCATTTATTTTGCAGCTCAGTTTAGCACACTTTGACCACTCCAAGGCCCAGTGTCGGTTTGAATCAGACTTTCTGGCACCTTCTGGATGGGTTAAATAAAAGTAACTGTCATCACAGGTCCATGTGGCCCTGACAGCACACCGATGATCAGCCAGTTTATACAAGATAACGACGGTACTGTAAGCTCCAGCAATTAGTCAGCATTTTATTCATAAAATGAACCGTCGTATAACAAATCTGTCAGTTGCTCGACAAGAATGAATTTACTGCTGCCTCTGAGGACATGCGCAGTGTTTGGTAGGCGTGGATCCAGCTTTTTCCAGCTCCGTTTGGATCCAGATACCAACACTGCAGCTTAAGGTATCTGCTAGATATCCACTGATCTGATACCAGTGCTAAAGGAAGTTGTGTTTCTCACTGCGAGGAAGAGACTGGGCATCACTCTCTATGCTTAAGACATCTGGCTTAATTTTAAAATTATATCCTGACCTTTGTAAGGTGACATGGCCACCGTGATCACACCTATTGATTTTCAATCCTCGAAGTGAAGATTTTCACCGTGGGCTGTCTGTCACAGGTCCTTAAACAATAAGTTTGCCCCGAGTACTCCTCGTTCCTGACACCTAGAATGACCACATTTAAAAAGTAAACTTAACAGTGGGAACATAACCTCCTCCCTCACACGGTCCCAAGCTACTACACTTCCCAGCACAGTTCCTGAGCCTGGATAAAGTGGAGGGTTTCATCAGGAAACGTAGCACAAGACAGCAAAAAAATATAAAGAAATATTGTCATCATTTACTTAGATTCAGAGTAAAGCGTGCAAGGCTGCACCTGCATTGTTTGGTGCAATCGTTGCCGTTTCTGTGAATGTATTTTTGAGACCTGTGGGCCATCTTTGATACGTTTTTCTATATTAAGTGCAATCAAGCCTCTGCTGAGAAATTTGTGAAGCTCTTTCAGTTCCTGCGGTAAAGAGTAACGATGCACCCGGATCAATAACAAGATTTATTTGGCAGTATGGATGCTGCTGTTTACTTTCGGCTGCTCCATTAGTTGCCAAGAGGAAGCACAGATTTATGCCGAATGTCCTTCCTGGCACAGCTCTCTCGTTTCTCCCAGCTGAGGACGGACACGAGGAGACCCCGAGCAGACCCAGAACGTCATGACAAATGAAGTCTTTTGGCTGCTTTGGGAGGATGTAGGTGTCCTCCAGAAGACTGGAGGAGGTTACAGTGGAGAGAGGAGTCTGGGAGTCTTTGTTTAGCTCCTGAGAACCCGTCTGGATAAGCATCGGAAAATTATGAACATTTTTAAAGGTCTTGATGCATCTCAATCATCCAGGAAAGTAAATCCCAAAAAGTTGATTCTGTTCATCTGGACGTAGCGTTTTGTTGGAGAAACGTTTCATCATCATCAGGTGACGTCTTCAGTCTCAGCTGACTGCAGGTTTCAATCTTATAAACAGAACATTTGCATAATGATCCATTGTTCCTTCAGTGGGCTGAAACCAGCCCACTGAAGGAACAATGGGCTGGGAGGTCAGTTCCTTAGTCTTAATTATGCAAAATCTCATGACCATTGATCAACCACCACTGATCAATGGCCATGAGTACCATTCACAGATATGTACTGTTTATAAGATTGAAACCTGCAGTCAGCTGAGACTGAAGAAGTCACCTGGATGATGACGAAACGTTTCTCCCACAAAACGCTGAACAGATGAACAGAATCAACTTTTTGGAAACATTTTTAAATATCATTTTATTTCCCAATAGCAATATTCAGCCAATCAATCAATCAGCAAATGAGACGATGTTTAACAGTGTCAGCTTGTGTTTAATGTCTCATCAGTTCTACAGCAGCTGAATCAGGATCATCCCTCACATGGAGGAATGGCCCTGAAGCAGCAGCAGGACATATTTTAAGCAATAATATTTATGTGTCACTAGTAAAAACACGTCAGCTTTTTTGACTTGATTGTCGACTAATCTCTGACGAGACTCACTGAACTGGTTGTGTGTCAGATCGGACACACCCGGAGGATGCTTTTGATTGCAGAGCTCTGAGAATGAATACGATCGTGGATCTGATTTATTATAAATGTCTGATGGAGCCGTGTGTCGAGCAGGACCATCCATAGAGAGAGGGCTTTGGATGACAAAATATCTGCAGCTGTAGGAATTATAATAATATTAATAATAATACATTTTATTTATAGGCACCTTTAAGACCCTCCAGCTCACCTTACAATAGTACAATAACAGTAGCAATATTATAAAACGTAGCAAAATACAAATTAAACATAAGGTTAAAAAAAGCATGAAAGTATAAAAGCTAAGCAAGATCAACACTAAGACAGAGTCATGGTGAAGGCTTTGCAGCTCTGAGTTTTCAGACGTGAGTTAAAAATGTTGAGACATTATTTTATAGAGTCACAGATTATTCTGACGTCCCAGTCGCAGCTGTTCGGTCGCCTCGTCTTTCACATCTGTAGATCCTTTCATCCCTCTTGTCCTCCTTTATTTCAGTCCCTGGATGAAGACTGTATGCTGGAGGAGGAAGATGATGGATTGATAGAAGACGAAGATGAAATCGATCAATTCAACGATGACACTTTTGGAGCCGGGGCCATCGGTAAGAAAGAAACATCTTTTTTTTTTCCAGTCTGACTCTGTCGTCTAGACGAGGTGAGGTTGTACTGTGGATCTGTCCTGTCAGATCTCCTGGATGTTCGTATCAAACACACCTGGCTAGTTTTTTCCTGCTCTCAGGCCTGTCGGACACGTCGTGCACTGAGGCCTCGTGTAAGAAACACTGGTAAAAATGGTAAATGGTCTGTATTTGTATAGCGCTTTACTAGTCCCTAAGGACCCCAAAGCGCTTTACACACCCAGTCATCCACACATTCACACACTGGTGATGCTACATTGTAGCCACAGCCACCCTGGGGCGCACTGACAGAGGCGAGGCTGCCGAACACTGGCGCCACCGGGCCCTCTGACCACCACTAGTAGGCAACGGGTGAAGTGTCTTGCCCAAGGACACAACAACTGAGACTGTCCAAGCCGGGGCTCGAACCGGCAACCTTCCGATTACAAGGCGAACTCCCAACTCTTGAGCCACGATCGCCCCATAGTGGTGTCACTTTGTGAACAAATTGCTCAAACACAGTCTAACAATAACAAAATGGAGTAAACCATGAGCAACATCGGTTCTCACAATGACTGATAAAAGTTTCTTTGCTGTTGTGGAGCGTGCAGTGAAATGTTTGAACCATAAAACTGAGTTAGCCGTACGATAGCCGCATCAGGAACAGGGTCAGCTCCTTCACTTAGCTCGTAGCGTTTCTCTGACAGGCTGATGACTGAGAGGGTGACTTATACCCTGATTATCTTTGAGTATCTGCAACAACATCTGCTTTTTATTAGCACAGAGGCTCAGCTGTTCTTACCTCCTCTCATTCAGTGAGAAAAGACTGAATGTGCTGCTGAAGCATTTAACCACCAACAAGTGAACCAAAGATGACATGTAGGCCACAGTTTTACTGGAGAGAAACTCATAATTATTTTATATATTACTGTGGAGCTAAATCTGTAGTTTATTGGTAGATTTGTATCACTAAGCTTTAAAATAAATGTTAAATCATTTAGACTCAAATCGGTTTCTGCTGTCAGCCTGGTTCTTTATTATAAGGAGCGCGGTGCTGCAGAGAAACCTTATTTTAGATCACACGAGCTCAGCGCTGCCGCTCGTTTACAGCCGTTTACGTTTATACTCTGACATTTTCAGAGAGGCCCCATAAATGAGGAGGTCACGTGTACGTGGGACCTCTGAGGGTTTGAAGGCGCTCTGTGTGTTTATGAACACGGATTCTCATCCTCACATCTCTGCTTTTATTTTGTAGGACGGTTTGTGTCTTTGCATATTTGTCTGTGGTGACCTTTGACCTTTCACATGTGATTTGGGGCTGCGCAGATTTGATGTTGCTTGTTTGTTCCAGATGACGACTGGCAGGAGGAACACAAGCGCCTCGCCGAGCTCGATGAACGGGACGAGTTAGGGGCGGGGCTGGGGTTCGGAGGAGGGGGGATGGGCGGGGACTCGGACTTGAGCACAAGCGAGCGCCCCTCCTCCACCCGAATCCCTTCTTCTGTAGTCCATCCCCCTCCACCATCATCCCTCGCTTCCCTCAGCTTCTCCTCTTCCTCGTCTAGACTGCCGCCGTCAGGTAGGTGATGTCATCAGACGCTGAAGCATCAAGTGGAGGTCGGCATGTTTTAAAGTCGGTAATCTCTCACTTCAGATGTGGAGGATCGAGTCGGGGAGGGGGATTTGGCCGAGTCTCTGGCCAGGCTGATCCTGGACGCCGACCCGGCCATCGCTGGAGTCGGGGCAGCCGAGAGACCCGGTCTGCCCCCCGGCTCTTCAGGATCCGGCCTCTCTGCTCTGCGGGGGCTGGACCAGCCCAGAGTCCTGCCGCAGCCCTCCCCCATCCTGCCTCCCACCCAGCCACACCAGCATCCCCAGCACCAGCTGCCTCCCGGGCTCCCTGCGTCAGGTGAGAATGAGTCGACCGCTTCTCTAGAAGATCTAAGATTCACTGAGCTCAGTTATTTTTATAGATGTCACCAAGATTTTAAGTGTGCGTGCGTGTGTGTGTGTGCTCTGACTGTGGATCTGTTGTCACATGACTGTTGGTCACAGTTGATTCGTAGCGTCTGTCGTTTGGTCTCTTTTATATGAGTAGCTTCATTTTGGGGAATTTAAACGTTGAATAAGTCGATGAAACTTCATATTTTTAAAGATGCACTTGATTATTGTTCATCAAAGAGTCGTTGTAAGGAAGCTTGGCTTCTTAACCCACCGGCAGATTTTGGAGCCTAAAGGGTTGATTTTGAATTCGTGGCTGCGACGCTCAGAGCAGACCTACCTGCTGTTTGCTTTCTGCATGTCGGGAACTTAGCAGGTAAAACCAGGAGTCATTTTCTGCCTCATGAGGAAC